GTCTTGGTGGAAGAATTACATGACAAACAGCTTTATAACATAAATCCCACATTGAAATATACAGGAAAAAGGCACATCTACCCTTAAAAGTGCCCCTGAAAAATATACAGAAACTTCCAAATAAACTGCTAGGAATTATAACCTTCTCTTTCCTATTCCAGGGATCAACTTCCAAAATGCCACTGACACCAACACATACACTATAACTCACTTAAGGACAATAATGTTGCTGCTAAACACTGCAGTGAAAAATATAATTTGGGGTCAGAGTCCTCCAAGAGTTATGCACATGCTTAATTTTACTCACAGTGCGTAATCCCACTGACTTCAATGGGACTATTTGTGTATTCAACATTAAAAACACATACTTATGTTTTTGCAGGATTTGTGCCTTACAAAGTCTATGAACACTTACATAAACCTGCACTATACAATCAGGACATTTTATAACACCAAAAAGATAATTCACACAAACATTTTTCACCAAGAATTCTGATACAATTTAGTGTACCCTAAAGAACCCTGGGTACTCCTTTCAAAACCCTTACTACATACAATATATAAAACCAACACCATACATCCAACAGCATATTGCCAAAGCAACAGAGCAAAGCTAAGGTTAGGTAGGTAGGTATTCGGGGATGGTCAGCAATGAAGGATTAGCTTCCTTTTACTGCTCAGTCATTCGAACATTGTGGGGGGCTTGAGTTTGTTTTCAAAAGGAGGGGAAGTGCTATAAAGAAAGTAGTAGTATTTTCAGCCACTAGCTGGGACTCCACTTTCACCCTTAATTTTTTTTGCTTGTGAATATATACCTACCATAAACTACCCAAGGGGTGACCCACACTGCTATGGCCATTCATTGGACCCTTAACCTGCATTTCATTTCCTCTATCATAAAATCAATTTTATAAATATTATAGAGATATGAAGTTACTTTATAAAAGAAACAGTTCATAAAATTTTACATTTATAAAGTATAGCTGATTCTGGCCACTGGCCTGATAGTCAAGAATATATTCAGTTAAATTCAAGAAGGATGTTGATAATTTGGAGAGAATTCCGAGAAGAGCAATCAGAATGATTAAAGAATTAGAAAATGTGCCTTACAGGCTAAAGACTCAAGGAGGTTAATCTATGTAGCTTAACAAAGAGAAGGTTAAGAGGTGACTTAATCACAGTCTATAAGTATCTACATAGGGAACAAAAATATTTAATAGTGGGCTCTTCAGTCTAGCAGAGAAAGAAACAACATGATCCAATGGTTGGACGTTCAAGTTACACAGATTTAGACTAGAAACAAGGTGTTCGATTTTTTAACACTGAGTAATTAACCATTAGAACAATTTAGCGAGCTTCACGGTGGATTCTCCACAACTGATTTTTTTTTTTTTTTTAAATCAAGACTGGATGGGTTTCTAAAAGATTTGCTCCAGGAATTATTTTGGGGAAATTCAATGGCCTGTATTATACAGGACAGATAATCGAAACAGTCCCTTCTGGTCTTGGAATCTATGAAACTATTTTCCCCTGGGTGGATAAAAATCAATGATTTGGGGGGGTGAATAAAAAAACAGGTTTTTTTAAAAAATGTTATATAAATTATTTTGAGCTTTTCTTTTTAAATGTAAGCTTGTTTAAAATGAAATCTGAACTTAATACAAAATGTGTTAAGACCTAAACTGATTATAATGTCTTTAAAAATTAAATAAAAAATATACTGAACATGAGCCCCTTCCAAAAACGTTGAGTTAAAGGCTGCTTTTCTATATAAAAAAAATCATGTCAAAAACTTCCAACTTTTGAGGTCAAGCTTTATAAATATGGCACAAAGTAATAGTAAATAAGCAATATAGCATTCATTATTCTCCTACGTACTAAAAATTTACAATTAATAAGAATCTGAAAATATTAAGCTATGTAATGGCTTAAATATATATAGTTATAGAGTACGTGCCTAGGAAACAAAACAATTTACCAAATCTAGTGTAAAGGCTCTATTCAGTTGTAAATCAACATGTTTTAATGGCTGTATCAACCAATGAAAGTGCACCTTTCTTTAAAAGATAACTGAAGTACAAATGGAAAAGTTGATTAAATTGATGAATTAAAGTGAGGCTTTCTACTTGACGATTTAAATCATGATTTCAATATCAGACTGAAATTGCTCTGATTTAAATCAATCCACCCCGTTTTCACCTGGATTCCACTGTATTAAGTTCGTCTCATTTTCAAAGTTTCATAAAAGTCAGGCATTCAAAATGTTAAGGGCTCAATTCTACAGTCCCTATATGAGTAAAATTCCTATTGAGTCCAGGGGGATTTTTGTCTTTACAAGGACTGCAGGTTCAAGCCCTCATGGCCACATTTCAGAGATTATGATCTCTTCTCTCTACAAGAAGTCTCAATACAAATTGTAAAACCAATCAGTAAGTCCTTCCATGGAAAGCACAGTCCCTGGGGTAGAATAAAATGTCTTTACAACTTCACATTTTTATTCTAGTCGTGTTTGAAAATGTCCAGGGTTCCTATTTAAATTCCCTCAGCAGTTTCTACTCAATTTCTGACAATTTAATGTTTAGGATGGTGCCCATAGTAACAACAGTATAAGAAAGATTTCAGTACAATAATTATTTACAAAGTTTTTAAAGCACATTTTACATGGGTGAAAAAAAAATTACTCTTCTGAAATTAAAGACAGGACTTGAGTTTCGTTTGTGAACACAAAAAGAATGTTGTTCACTGCTAAACTACAGCTTTACATGCGCTATAAGCAATGTTTATTTCAAGAACTGTAGTTCCTTTTGTCTAGTAATACCATGTATGCTCTCTCAGTAAGATTGTGAAACTTGCATTAAGCTGCAATTACTGCAATAATGCCAGAAAATCTTTCCTAAGGGAATAGTATAGTAAGTACTTTGCAGCTGTAACCACAACTACCAAAATGTTTTGATCACGGAAAGCTTAAGTTGGCATTTGTTATTCACCAAAAACCATTATCAATAGGAATAATTAAACCATTCTCAGGACTAGATGTTCCCCATTTCCACTGAGATTTGAACATACAGACTTTAGGATTGGTTCCTTAGAAAACTGACTCTTTTTAGCTTACTTTAACCTCTCTACCCTCATCTGTAATATAAGGAAAGTGGGACAGATGTTACAAGTTGCTTACTACAATTGTCTTTTTTTCACCTCGGGAGGTGTGGATTCAGACGTTACCTAAAGTCACAAGAATTGTTTCGTAATCTCAAACTGGTCCTTAAGACACATTTTTAAAAAAAAACAGAAACCCAAACCCAACACTCTACAGGTAAGATTTTCAAAGCTGTCCAAGACACTTAGTTACAAAACCCCCATTAATTTTGATGGGAAGCAAGCAGCTGAGTCCTCTAGTTGGCGTTGGGGAAAAAGTCTCACCCCCACATGCCTTGTCATAAGTAACAGGCAGTCAAGACCAACCCCTGCAGTGGATTAAGGAGGAGTACCACAGGATCCAAAGTAGTCCTAACAATGAGGAGTCCTTGGGACATCTTAGAGACTAACAAATTTATTTGGGCATAACCTTTCGTGGGCTAAAACCCACTTCATCAGAGGCATGGAGTGGAAAATACAGTAGCGGGCACATACACAGTACATGAAACAGCTACCACTCCAAAAGTAGTCCTAGCCCCTCTTTCCTAACCAGAAGGTGGACTCTAGAAAGAAACTTTGAAAGATGAGGGGGAAGAGAGATGGTCCTCTGGACTCCTACAAAGGGATGGAAAGCTCCTCACTTGGGAAAATACACATCTAGTAGTCTTCTCTCCACTCCTAACTTAGATAACTCAGTCTCACACCCTACCCACCTGCCTTTTACAGACTCCTGTGGCAAACATCAAATTCACTATCTGCCAGGGAAATGTTGCAGAGTGTCTCAGAAGACTCACCCAAATGGGACCATGTTCAGACATCATATTGATGGGCACTTTCCAGACAGGCATACAAAGACCCTTTAAGCCTCCCATCTCATCCATGTATGTTACAACTAAAAATCTTAAATTTTAGTCAAGTATTTCATAATTACTATGCAAGTATACAAACTACGTTAGTCAAATACTGTGGTTCACCTTACATGTATTTTTGGAAATAACTGATGTAGTAAAGTATTATCTAAGCATGAAGCTGCAAAGTATATCAAAATAACATTTCATAAACATGTTGGAAATCAGAAAATTTAAAATATATTTTTTTCCTATTATTTTTTAAATCTGTACAGATTCCCTGCATAACGTGTGTAAAAAAAAAAAATGCCGGTTCAGTCCAGCAAATTTCAGCCCAAGATGGATATCTACAGACAACTTTAAAACTCCAGAAAACAAGAGACAATAGAAACTGAAGAGAGTTGGTTTGTAAACATCTCTTCCTCCCAGTATTCTGATTAGCCAGATCATCAGGAAACAGCTAAGAATTTGTAGTAATGGAAACATCTCTCCAATCTTAGTGCTATATTCCAGTGTTTGCTACCAAGATTATGTTTATTATACTAAGCAATGTGGCCTCTATATTTTAGCCCCTCTCTCCATTGCAACTTGCTTAGTTGGACAGACAAATCTCCATTGTAAGGTCACAAGTTATTTCAAATAAAAAGAACTAGCCCCTTATAGACTTTGTATCAGACAAACAATCCAAAATATTTAATTTACCATAATACATTCCATGTGCTGTGAAAAATCAAAGGCAGGAGGGATACTTGGACCACTTTCCAATTCATTAGGAAATGTTCACTGGATTTAAATCTGACCCAATCAGTTTGTAAAATATAAGGCAGTTTTCAATTTTACTTTTGTTGTTTAATAGCTCAGCCCGATGTCACTGTATAATATACAGTATTTTGTTCTTATTGAAAAATTTGCTGGCTGCCTCAATATTAACATTGAGTTGTTGAAAGTAATACAATGTCCACAGGGGTATTCAGAACCTATTGAAAAACATAAACCATGAGCTAAAAGGTTTCTTACCATGATCTTGCTTACCCATTGCACTTAGATAATGATTAAAGGCTTGACAAGGGGGACTTGGAGTCTGCGTGGACTTGTCGCAACTCATAGGCGCAGGACTCCTGTCTGTGTCGAAAGAGAAATACCCACTGGAGGATCTAGACAGCAGTGAGGATCTTCTTACAAAGATGAAAAGTGGGGATCTGGTAGCAAATGGACTGGGGCTACTGGGTGGTGCAAATGGTCCCTGAGGGCTGCTGGGCGAAGAGCTCCCTGAGGGCTGCTGGGCGAAGTCCCCCTCACCTGAATGATTACCTTGATACTGTGTTTGTATAGAGGTAGGGGCCCCAGGTCTAAGATGCTGAGGCTGACTTGGCCTTTCAGTTGACTGAAACTGTCCACCTTCTCTGTTGCACTCTGAATTTAGATCAGAAGGTTGCTTTGCCATTTGGTCTTTTTTTCCTGCAAAGGAAGAGGAAGACATTATGAGAAAGCTCTCTAGGTTTTATTATAATACTATAATATCTAATAAGTTTTGCAATACATTCTCAAAGTCCTTATTTATATTGTTAGAATTCTAGTAGTATGGCATATGCTTTTCAGCATACATTCTTCTAGCTTTTTAAGTACTCACTTCCCCCCCCCCCCCACCCAAATACAATCAACTGCTATCAGATCTATGGGTAGTTTCCTGTCCACTGTTTCCGCCCCTCCTAGGATACCTGCATCAAAAGTATAACTTGTGAGAAGTCTTTGTCCAAACAAAAGGAATTGGGTTTTAAAGTGAAATTTATCAGCCAGGCCATTGTGCTCCAGTTATGCTCCAAATCTATATGAAGTTTTGAGTCTGTTAATTTTAAAAAAAGAGCAATAAGCTCTGATTTCCCCAAGTGATTAAATAAAAGAATCGGATACTGTGCTGAAATGCAAGAGTGAGGAGTATTTGCAGTGATTGTGCAGAGCCTCCTGGCCATGTTCCCTGTTCCAGCCCCATTGTTCTATCTAATGTGCTGATCACAGCAAGTCTGGAGGAGGTTTGGCAGCAGCAATCAGTTGTAGTAAGTGCGTCACAATAGAGTTTGTAGATTGCACAGGGCTGGCTCTCGTTCACCCCCCTCCTCACCCTTTTAATGCTAACTCAACAAATCCGCCTTCCGACTCCCAACTGCGAGGGAGAGGGGAGTAGTAAAACGTCAGCTCGAACAACACGGCCACTTCCCCACCCAAACAAAGCAATAGCGGGTAGTGACAAATACCCCCAGAGAGACAGCCCCCACTCTCTGCCGGCCCCCCCCCAGCCCAAACCCGCAACGACAGCCCCCACTCCCTGCCGCCCCCCCAGCCCAAACCCGCAACGACAGCCCCCACTCCCTGCCGGCCCCCCCCAGCCCAAACCCGCAACGACAGCCCCCACTCCCTGCCGGGCCCCCCAAGCCCAAACCCGCAACGACAGCCCCCACTCCCTGCCGGGCCCCCCCAGCCCAAACCCGCAACCAGAGACCCTACTCCCTGCCGGGCCCCCCAAGCCCAAACCCGCAACCAGAGACCCTACTCCCTGCCGGCCCCCCCAGCCCAAACCCGCAACGACAGCCCCCACTCTCTGCCGGGCCCCCCAGCCCAAACCCGCAACCAGAGCCCCCACTCCCTGCCGCCCCCCCCAGCCCAAACCCGCAACCAGAGACCCTACTCCCCGCCGGCCCCCCCCCCAGCCCAAACCCGCAACCAGAGCCCCCACTCCCTGCCGGCCCCCCCCAGCCCAAACCCGCAACGACAGCCCCCACTCCCTGCCGGCCCCCCCAGCCCAAACCCGCAACGACAGCCCCCACTCCCTGCCGGGCCCCCCAGCCCAAACCCGCAACCAGAGCCCCCACTCCCTGCCGGGCCCCCCCAGCCCAAACCCGCAACGACAGCCCCCACTCCCTGCCGGCCCCCCCCAGCCCAAACCCGCAACGACAGCCCCCACTCCCTGCCGGGCCCCCCCAGGCCAAACCCGCAACCAGAGCCCCAGGACACAAGGTCTGCGGGGATCCAGCGCCGCACTCCCGACTCAGCCGCGGGTTTGTTGTTGCTGTGGGGGGGGGGCGGGGGGGCCTGTACATAAGGCTGCAGACTCGCCCGGGGACAAGGCTCCGGCCCCGCACCACTTCCTGCTGCCGCGCCGGCGCCGACAAGCGCGGGCCGGCGCCGACCCCGAACCGAACCGAGCCGAGCCGGGCCAGCCGCAGCCCCCCCGCCGGCTCTGACCTCCCCCCCCCCAGTCCCGGCCGGCCCGCGCGGGGGGACCGAGGCGGGGCCCAACAAAGGGAGGCGGGCGAGCCGGCGGGGGACGGCGGCCACACAAAGGAGCCGCGGGGGCAGCGCCGAGACCCCGGCCCCGGCCCACTCACCGTTTCGGCGCCCGCCTCCTCGCCCGAGAAACAAAACCGGACCCCCCTCCCCGCGCCGGGGGGCCGCCCCCCGCGCCCGCCGCCGCCGCCGCACGCGCCCTGCCCCGCGGGACCCCGGCCCCGCGCCCGCTCGGCTGCGCTCGCTGACTGCCTCTGCCGCCCGCCGGGCAGGGCGCCCCCGCCCCGCACGCAGGGCCCCGCGCGCCGGGCCGCCAATCCCCGCGCGCCGGGGGCGGCCCCGCCCCGCCCCGCGCCAGGCCACTGTTGACAAACGGCAGCCGGGCGCGCACGGGCCCTGCCGCCCGCGCGCCTCTTCCCTCAGGGGCGGGCCCCGCCGCGCCCGCGCCCAGAGACCCCCCCCGCCCGCGGCTAAGCCCCTGTGTGCAGCCCCCCCCCGCCCAGAGACCCCCCCGCCCGCGGCTAACCCGCTGTGTGCAGCCCCCCCCGCCCAGAAACACCCCCCCCCGCCCGCGGCTAACCCGCTGTGTGCAGCCCCCCCCCGCCCAGAGACACCCCCCCCGCCCGCGGCTAACCCGCTGTGTGCAGCCCCCCCCCGCCCGCGGCTAACCCGCTGTGTGCAGCCCCCCCGCCCAGAAACACCCCCCCCGCCCGCGGCTAACCCGCTGTGTGCAGCCCCCCCCGCCCCCCCCCCGCCCAGCAGGCTAACCCCTTTCACCCCCCCCCCGCCCGCGGCTAACCCGCTGTGTGCAGCCCCCCGCGCCCCCAGCCCAGAGACCCCCCCCCCGCCCGCGGCTAACCCGCTGTGTGCAGCCCCCCCCCGCCCGCAGCTAACCCGCTGTGTGCAGCCCCCCGCGCCCCCAGCCCAGAGACCCCCCCCCGCCCAGAGACACCCCCCCCCCGCCCGCGGCTAACCCGCTGTGTGCAGCCCCCCCCCGCCCGCGGCTAACCCGCTGTGTGCAGCCCCCCCGCGCCCCCAGCCCAGAGACCCCCCCCGCCCACGGCTAAGCCCCTGTGTGCAGCCCCCCCCCCCGCCCAGAAACACCCCCCCGCCCGCGGCTAACCCGCTGTGTGCAGCCCCCCGCGCCCCCAGCCCAGAGACCCCCCCGCCCGCGGCTAAGCCCCTGTGTGCAGCCCCCCCCCCCGCCCAGAAACACCCCCCCCGCCCGCGGCTAACCCGCTGTGTGCAGCCCCCCGCGCCCCCAGCCCAGAGACCCCCCCCGCCCGCGGCTAAGCCCCTGTGTGCAGCCCCCCCCGCCCGCAGCTAACCCGCTGTGTGCAGCCCCCCCCGCCCAGAGACCCCCCCCGCCCGCGGCTAAGCCCCTGTGTGCAGCCCCCCCCGCCCGCAGCTAACCAGCTGTGTGCAGCCCCCCCGCCCAGAGACACCCCCGCGCGCGGCTAACCAGCTGTGTGCAGCCCCCCCCGCCCAGAGACCCCCCCCGCCCGCGGCTAACCCGCTGTGTGCAGCCCCCCCCCGCCCAGAGACACCCCCCACCGAGCCCCTGTGAGCAGCACCCCCCCCCCCCCCGCCCAGAGACACCTCCACAAACCCTATGGGCAGAGTCCTCCCCTCCCCCCAGCACCACAACTGCCCGGCGCCCCACCACACACAGGCCTCCCTGCCCGCCACTGCCCAGCGCCCCCCGCCGGCGGCGGGGAGAGGACCGTGTCCACAGGAGGCGGGGATCGCTCACAGCTCCCGGGGAGGTGAGCCCCCAGAGCCCGCCCGCTCCGCAGCCAGGAGCCCGGCTCAGCCCGCATGGCGGAGCCCGGCTCCTGGGCGGCGAGCCCCCTGCAGGCCAGCGGGACCCGCTGGCGCAGGGAGGCCTGGGCGCTGGACTGCCCGGGCCAGGGGCCAGACCGGCCCTGTGGACAGGGCGAAGCCCTCTGTGTGGACAGGCCAGATCCGGCGTGGGCCGGTACCTGTGCAGGATTCTGTGCCGGCCCTGTGGACACGCCAGACCCCGTTGTGTGGACAGGTTAGACAGTCTGCGTGGACGGGTCTGTGCCTGCTGTGTGGACAGGCCAGAGCCAGACCCGGCCCTGTGGAGGTGTTAGACCGCCTGGTGCCAGCCGTGTGGACGGGTCAGACTGGTACCTGGGGAGGGCTCTGTGCCGGCTGTCTGGGCAATCCAGACCGGGCTGTGTGGACGGGTCAAATCGGTACTTGGGGAGGGGTCAGATCGGTACCTGGGGAGGGCTCTGTGCCGGCTGTCTGGGCAATCCAGACCCGGCCGTGTGGACGGGTCAGACTGGTACCTGGGGAGGGCTCTGTGCCGGCTGTCTGGGCAATCCAGACCCGGCCGTGTGGACGGGTCAGATCGGTACCTGGGGAGGGCTCTGTGCCGGCTGTCTGGGCAATCCAGACCGGGCTGTGTGGACGGGTCAAATCGGTACTTGGGGAGGGGTCAGATCGGCACCTGGGGAGGGCTCTGTGCCGGCTGTCTGGGCAATCCAGACCCAGCCGTGTGGACGGGTCAGATCGGTGCCTGGCGAGGGCTCTGTGCCGGCTGTCTGGGCAATCCAGACCCGGCCGTGTGGACGGGTCAGATCGGTGCCTGGCGAGGGCTCTGTGCCGGCTGAGTGGCCAGGTCAGACCGTCCAGACTGCGCGCGTGGCAGGACCAGAGCAGTGGCGGGGGGACGCAGTGATCACAGACAGCTCGCCGCAGCGCCCGGAGAGGGCCATGCACCCCTCGCTCCCTGCGGGCTCTCTGCTTCCTTGCGCCGAGACAATCCCTTCGCCCTCCAGACGCTACAGGGCCCGCGCACACGACGCGGAGAATGCGCGCCCCGAAGAGCAGCGGCAGCCGGGGATACACCGGGCTCAAACCCGTCTGAGCAAGGGGAGGAGAAATCCTGCGCGGGACAGAGAGCTCGGCGCTGAGACTCGGCCGGCGGCGGTGCATCTCCGCTCCGGCGCGGGGCCAGCCAGGCGCTGGTGGCGAGCTCGAAACAAACGTACCGGGATGAGCCCGCTCCAGCCCCGAGGCAGCCGTGCCCTGCCCGCTCTCCGTCCTGCGCCGAGCTCGCCTGCGCTGGAGTTTCCCGCAGGAAACCATCGCCGGCGTATCGCGGTGCGAAGGCTGCACGAAGCCGCCGGGGAGCCGCCAGCCCCGCGGACGAGCTTTTGACACGGGAAAACCCAGACTGCGCCGAGCTGGGCCATGAACGCTGCGCGCCCTCCGTGACTCCGGAGTGGGTGTCAGACAACCTGCCAGAAATCGCTGTGCGCCCGGCGGGTGCGAGACACCGGAGCCGGGAGAGGGGGCGTGGGAAGGGATCCTCCACCCCGCTCCCCGAAGTCTGCCAGAGAACAAACGGAGGCGCCCCGCTCATGCGAATCGCCGCGGCGGGCCCCGCCGTGCGCCCTGGAGGGTGCAGCTGGGCTGGACGCGACCTCCACGGCGAACCGGCCTGAGCCCGCTGCGCGCCTCCGTCCGCCTCCCCCGAGCGCGGCCGCGGTCCGCCGGGGCAATCCGCCACTCACCTGCTCGCGGACCAGCGCCAGGTGCCTGTGAAATCCCCCCGGCGAGGGGAGAGTCTCGCCGCAGCCGGGCGCCGGGCTCTTCCTCCGGGCACTGTGGAGAGAAGCGACCCGACGCAGCAACCAAGCCGAGCTCCCGCCCCTGGCCAAACCCTCGCAACGCGTCTCGTTCATCCACTAGGCTTTGTGCCTTCGACAGACACAAGAAACGGCCCTGCCCCGTCGCGATCGCCCCCGGGCTTCTAACGTGGGTACCTGGCAGGCTCCGAAACCGAGTTTTCTCACCTCCGTGGAACTGAGGGTGCTCATGCCTTCTCCCGCACGGGCTCGTAAGAGGCAGGGGGCCAAGGGGGAGCCAGGAGAAGAGAGTCCGCGGGCCGTTCGAGCCCGTATTTCGGCATCAACCCGTCTGCGACAGCAGCTCGCCTTCTGGACAG